GCCAGGATTCTTGAGATGATCGCCGTTATAATGCACCTTCTTTTAGCATAATCAGGACAAGAGGTGTTTCTTGAATTGAGTGGCTCCGCCTGAGCACAGTGCTCTGCTCCCTTCATTCAGTGAGTCCCCTTGGGCAGGAACTGCTGGGGCTGTCACCAGCTAGTCAGAGCCCTGTTACTTCCAGGGGGGAGGTGGTCCCACACCAGCAAGGCAATCAACTGGCTTTGTGCAGAAACCGCTGGACTGTAACCATGAAGAGCTGCCCACAAAGAAGGGAATGATGGGAGGCTGGGAAAATATTCAAAGCCATCCATGGAGGAAATTTTCAAGCCCTGGATATTTTGGCATTAATAACATTGAGTGTGTGGTTCTTTCACTTTGTCACATTCTTCATCCCTGGTTCTCACTGCACACCTGGGGAAACCGAGGCTCAGAGAGGCTCTCATCTGCATGGCTGGGAGCAGCAAAGCCAGGATTCACAGCCAGACAGCCCTGACTGCAGACAGCACGCTTCCCTCAGTGGGTAGGCCGCTTCTAGAGAAGTCAGTGGCTGCGGAGCCCCCAGGCTGGACTAGGCCTGCAGAGGGTGTGATCTCGGGGGAAACTGATGAGCTTTCAAGGAGGTGCTGTCTCCACAGGAGGTATGAAGACACGAGGGAGGAAGACCATAGCGAGGCTGGCAACAGGATGCCATCTGGCTCACGAGTGCATGGTGCCCACATTGAGTGTGTATCCGTAGGTGTGGGCCAACGGGGTGTGTGCCACAGCTGCTGAAATCTTGCTTTCTTCATAGATTGTGCATCTAAAAGGCCTTTGTACCGCCAATGATCTTGAAGTGTCTGCTCCCCCTGGCAGCAGCCGCTGGAGGCCCAGGATCACCCCCCAGACACCTGTCCATTTTCTGCTTTCACTTCCATTTCAGAGAGTGAGGTATCACACTCAGGCAGACCTGGGTCAGTCACGGCTCTGCCACTTCTCGACTGTGTGACCCAGACAAGTTACTGAACTGTGGGTCTCTGTTTCCTCACCTGTGAAATGAAGGTGAAATGAGGCCTCATAGCTTTGGCCTCATATTGCAATATTCAGTGGAGTTAATACTTGTAAAGCCAGTAGCAACTGTGTGTGTCAGGACCTGGGCACTTGCGCAGGCACGCCTTACTTCACGCAGCAGCAGAGCCTCTGAATACAGGACAGCTGGTTGGATTTAGCTCTTGAAACTGCTCGGTAGAACCCTATGCCCTTTGGGGAATGGGAGGGATGATGGGGGCAGGCATGCCAGAACCTGAAGTTGGCTCCTTTGGAAGCTTGGTCCCTGTGTGGGGGGTTTAGGACAGGAGGCCAGTGTTCCCTACCCACACCCAGGCCAACAGGTGAACAGAGGCAGCAGCCCAAATGTTCTCACCAAGAACTATTGAACGGGGAGCCCACATCCAGACTTCACACCAGGGTAAATTCTTCTGATATCACAGTGCCTCACCTGTTCCAGATGAGGCCTGAACTCTCATACTGACCTTGTCATCACCTCAAGTTCACTCCTGACCTGACTAGTGTGGTGTCAATTTAGTTGCAATAGTGGGTACTTATTATATTGTATTCTCTTTTCATTGGTTTCCCACAGGATTCCAGGGACTGGTGGCTTATATACTTGGTAATTCTTGAAGTCTCTAAGGTTCTTATTTCTTGTTAATTTTCTGCTATTTGTTGGATCTTACTTTGGGGCATATGGGTCTCACTCAAGTTCTCATTCTGTCATTGGTGTTACAACACGTAACTTTGTTAAAAGATTTTTTCCTTTTTGCCCTGGCTGGTGTGGCTCAGTGGATTGATCGAGTGCTGGCCTATGAACCAAAAGGTCACTGGTTCAATTCCCAGTTAGGGCACATACCTGGATTTCAGGCCAGGTCCCCCATTTGGGGCCATGTGAGGAGAAACCACACGTTGATATTTCCCTCCACCTTTCTCCTCCCTTCCATTTTCTAAAACTAAATAAATAAAATCTTTAAAAAATATATTTTCTAAGAAACATTTAGTGGGTTTCTACTATGTTCATACTGTGCCAACTATGAATAGGACAGTCCCTGAGCTCAAAGAACTTGCAGCTGCACAGGGCAGGCTGACGAAGCGGCCGCAGCACCCTTCGTGTGGCAAGTGCTCTGCAGTGGTGACTGCAGACAGAAAGGGATCACGGCGGGGGGGGGGGGGGGGGGGGGCACTAACCAGCCCAGAGATAACTTTGCCAAGTACCTACACTCTGCCAGTTCCTCAGTAAATTCTGAGCAAGATTTTCTTTCATCCAATCAGTTCAGTATATTTTCCACTTCTAGATGATCTGATTCCTTTGTGAATATACCTGTTCTTTTTTCCCAATGTCCTTTTTTTCTAGTATTTCCTATTCTTTATCTTTGCCTTCATTTGAAAATGATATTTTCTCCCTTAAAGTTTCTTTAAGAATGTTCTATTATGTGAAGTTCCCAGGAGTAGTAATATTCCTGTTTTGCCCATTCACTGTCATTATGGAATGTGTTTTGAGCGGTTTGTAATTATTTTCCTCCTTTTTCTTGGTCTTCCTATGAGCCCTGGGTTGTGGAACTACGGCCATGGTGCAGTTTCATATTTGCCTTTCTGGTTTCCTGGGGTTGGGGGTGGAGGGACTAACTGCTTGAACTGACCTATTTTTACTTTAATTTCTTTGCTTAGAGAAATGATTCAATCACTTAAAAACAATGTACTGAACAGTTACTCTATCCCCGTATTTGGTATTGTGGAAGACAAAAATGATGCAAGACAAAACAATGTAGCTGCCTTACGTGGAACCACTGTCTGGAAGGAACACATATACACAAAAAGTGAAGTGACCATGTAAGGAAGAGAAAGTGAACAAGGTCAGAAGGAAAGACAGACAGCTGGGGAAAAACGGGGAGGAAAAGCCCCAAAGAGGAAAAGGTTTGTGTGAGGAAGTTTCAGAAAGCTGACTTCTGGGTGGAGCGTTAGTGTGCTGCTCTAATGTTAGCAATAAACGAGGCTGCGGATGAACTTCACTTTAAGGTCCCTGTTGGGAAAGGTTAATCAGAATCCAGGTGAAAGGAAGTCATTCCAAGTGCTCCTGGGGCAGGAGGTAGGTTTAATGAAAGTTGTGTTTAAAGGAGAAAACACGGTAACCTGAAAGGACTAGGAGGTTTGCAGTGATTTAGACCAGTATATATCCGGGTTAGGGAAGCCAGTGTGGGGGAGAAAGGGAGGAAGGGAAATAGAATGGCAAGATTTGGATGTGGAAGGTGTACAGAGTATTTTCAAGTGTGGCAAGGGGGAAGGGAGTTTTTAGGAGATAGGTAGGGATTTGGGAAGGGCAGACTGCAAGAAATCTGGACAAAGTGGCCAGCTGGTGTGGTTCAGTGCACTAAGTGCCAGCTTGAGAACCAAAGGGTCACTGATTTGATTGAGTCAGGGCACATGCCTAGGTTGTGGCCAGGTCCCCAGTAGGGAGCCTGGGAGAGGCAAGCACACATTGATGTTTCTCTCTTTCTCCTTCCCTTCCCCTCTCAAAACATCTCTCACGGGTGTGGCTCGGTGATTTGAGTTGGGCATCATCTCTGCAAATGGATCCATTTGCTGGTTTCATTCCTGGTGGTCAGGGCACACATCTGGGTTGCAGGCCAGGTCCTGGCTTGCAGACCAGGTCCCGGGTTGGGGGCATGCAAGAGGCAGCCAATTCTTTGGATGTTTTCAGTGCCTCTCTGGCACATCAATGTTTCTCTCCCTCTTTCTCCCTTCCTTTCCTCTCTTAAAAAAATATTTTTTTAAAAAAGAAGGCGACAAAACTTTCTCACAATAAACACAGGATCAATACAGACAAAGGGGCAAGGTGCCCCACTGCTGCGTGTCTGGACTCTGGGTTACCTGATTCCTTTCCATTTAAACAGAAACTTTTACTGAGCACCTTCACAAGTGGCGGGGCACGGTTCTAGGTGTCACTGCAGGGGTTTGCATTTTACAAACAGGCACAGGGCATTTTCCGTAATGCATACAGTAGGTCCTCCCTTACACCTATAACAAAACCGATTTCACTAAAGGCTAATTGATACAAACATGAGGTTACTTCCCATATATCTCATTAACGTGCAACTGTTATAACATAAACAAACGAAATTGAGCAAAATGTTACTAGAGGACCAGCCATACATTCCTCCCCGGGTTGCTGTGAAGATTATACTGGAGTTAACATGGTGCAAAGTATCTAAAAATGTGTCTAGCACTAAATTAAGTGCGATTTTAGGGCCACTTATTCATTTTTATTACCTAAAGATTAGACTACATACACTTAGCAGGTACAGTGCCTGCGTGTGCTGATACTGAACGACTGATTAAACACCACCTCCCACCCCCCCACCCCCCCGGACCTAGTGAGGGAGATTGGCCAAGTACTTTAGAGCAAAACACATTTTCTAACCTTAGGCGCCAAGGCCCCTAAGTGCAAAGGAAGCTGGCCACATCGCCAAAGGGCTACTGGATCTGATCTGCTGGGGAAGCCGAAGGGGTAAGACGAATCTGGAGACCGCAGAGGGGTCGCCCTGCAGCAGGAAGTTTCGCTGGGTACTCTGCCGGAGACGTGTACAACGAAGAGTCGGCCAAAGAACTGCAGCGAAAACTCGCGAAGCCAGTGATGGGGCTTAGAAATGCCGCAGACCACGTTGTAGTCTGGCTTACGCTGCCTCCAAGCCCCGCCCCCGCCGCACTCTGGGGTTCTCGGGGGAGCACCCAGCCCTGAGAAGGCCTACACAGGCCCGGGGCCCGCGACTCCGGCCTCCCGAGGCCACGGACCCTAGGTCTGCCACTCAGAGTGACGCCCTGTCCCAACTCCGCAGGGGAAAACGTATCCACTGTGTACCATTCCGCGACGCCCCAGCGGCCCCGGAGCAGCGTGGCCGGAGCCCGGCCCCTGACGCCAGCGAGGGGCGGGGCGCCGTCCGTCACGTGACGGGGAGTGACCTCACCGGCCCTGCGCTACAGGGGGCCTTAGACCCGGAAGTGGCGCCTAGGGCTCGCGGCGGCGCCGCGGGGATGGCGGGAGCTGGAGCTGGAGCCGGAGCTCGGGGCGGAGCGGCAGCGGGGGTCGAGGCCCGGGCTCGGGACCCGCCGCCGGCGCACCGTGCACATCCGCGCCACCCTCGGCCTGCGGCGCAGCCCTCGGCTCGCAGGATGGACGGAGCGTCCGGGGGCTTGGGCTCCGGGGACAACGCCCCGACCACCGAGGCTCTTTTCGTGGCTCTGGGTGCGGGCGTGACGGCGCTTAGCCATCCGCTGCTCTACGTGAAACTGCTCATCCAGGTGGGGGACCGGGCCACCGTAGGGAGATGGCGGCCCCTGTGGAGGTGACAGGCCTCGATTTGGACAGATTGGGTCGGAGGAGTCGATGATGACGGACTTGGGAGAAGGGGCAGAGACAGAGGTTTTGGTGGGCCGAAGGAAGAGGAGAGGAGGGAAGCAGGGAGGAGTTTGGGGGTGCAGGCGGAGCAGGTTTGGAGGTGCAGGAGGCTGGGCGAAGGGTTCGAAGCGACAGATTTGAGAAGGTGGAAGGAGAGGGCGAAGGGATAGAGAGACGGGTTTCGGGAATGAAGAGATGAACTTGGGATAAGAAGATGGGGTATCATTTGGGGGTGACTAAAGAAGCAACAGAATTGGGAGAGGGGCGGGAAGTTTTGGCGAATGGGTGAGGAGGAGGATTGGGGGCCAAGGCAAAGTATTTAGAAGATGAGCACATATTTAGCGCAGAGAGGAGCAAGAGCTCTGGATTTGATAGGGATAGATTAAAAAGTAGTTTGGTAAAACAAAGGACAGGAGGCCAGGGCCAAAAATTTAGGAGAGGAGAAAGGGTATCAGACTCCCGGGAGGAGAGAGCGGGGGCAATGAAATTCATGGTCAGGGAATTTGATGGGAGAGGGCGAATCCGGAGGATTTATAGGGGAGAGCTTTTGGTTAGCAGGAGATGGGGGCTCTGGATCCGATGGCGACAATGGATTTGGTGGGAGGAGGGGACGGGGTGACGCGTTGTTGGGGGGGAGAGACGGCAACGCATTGGGGGAGGGGACTGGTGGCGTTTTGTTTGGAGAGAGAAGCCAGGGGGAGGCTTTTAGGGGGAAAGGTGTGACGCATTTTGAGGAGAAAATGGAAGTCGGGTTGGGTAGGGAGATGGGAATCACAGTCCTCGTATCTGGCGGGATGAGCTGAAGGGGTTTGAAAGTATTGGAATCGGGAAGAAGGTGTAGTTGGGACATAATAGTGACAGGATAGTGGGGAGCTGGCAGAAACTGAGGCCAAGGTCGGGATGTATCTGGATCGGTGCCATGCAGGTGCACTGGGTGTAGCGGTGGTGGCCAACAGTGCCTTACAGGTGAAGCAGGCTTCCTGAGATTGAGTTGGAAAGAGATGGGCTGGAGGGATGCATTTGGCAGAACTGGGGAAGGGGCGATGGAGATGCGCGCCATTTAGATAGGGATGGTTTGGGCCTAGATTGATGACTGAAGATTCAGCCTAGAATTTCCCAGTGAAGAAAAATGGGCAGGGGGTAAAAATTGAGATGGAAACCCAACCAAAATTTGAGAATTTGATTTAAATTACAGCAAATGGGTGTCAGATTTACTGTCTTTATAATTGTACTGACAGAATGGGAGATATAGTTGGAAGGAGAGAACTTGAATGGGAGTAATTGAAATCTAAGGAATAGGGGTGATGGAGTGGGGGTGTGTGACCAGGAATATGACAGAGAATGGGGAGATTCAGTCAGGAACATCAGGGTGCCTGACTAAAATCTAAGTGTGGCTGGGATTTGGAAACGGTTGGTGGGGGGAAGGTCCAGACAGGTGGACCGGTCCAGTTTGGGGTGATTTGGGAGTGAGGGCTGCTCTATTTAGGGAATTAGGATTGTATTTACAGCAACGGAGATTACAGGTTTGGGGGAGAAATTGGCACCTGAGATGTGAAACAAGGGGGTACTGGGCGTTGAGTTTTTCGGTTGATGGAATGAGATGGGGCAAGGGCTTGAATTTTAGGGGGGCAGATAGGAGGGTCTGAGGCGTGGAGCATGCTGGAATATAGGAATGGGGGTTCCATGTGAAGGAAGTAGAAAGTGGCTTCGCCATTTGGACCATTGAAGATTTGGTTTAGAGGTTTGAGAAGAATATTGAAATAAGGGTGACTTGAAGAGAGAATTGGGAATGAGGGAGAAGGGGGAATTGGGGAATGAAGGGAGACAGAAGGGTGGGAACTGGATGGTGGGGGCGGGTAAGGATGAGTGAGCTGGGTTGGGGTGATAGGTGGCCTATCTGATTTGAATTCAGGTGGTACTGAGCATAACATATTTTAGGCTGAAATCTTAACGGGTGTAGCTTGGGAATCAGAGTAACATTTTGCAAAAAGGCAGATACCAGTTTGGGGTGGTAGCAGGATTGGAGTGGCAGATTTGGGGTTGTCTAGATTAGGTACATTGGAATGCAGTGCCTCAGATCAGGGTTTGTGGGTGTTAGGTTTCAGGGTTTGGAGATTTAAGGGTGATGGACTGGCTTTGCCAGTGTCTGGTCCAGAGCCACAGCTTCGGACTGGGTTAATAGACTTGGGGGTGAAATTGGGCTGGTATGACTTGGGCACAACTAATGAAAACTTGAGGACAAGGAGAACAGGGGTGAAATATGGCCAGTGTGCCTTTGATAACCTGGGTGGAAGTTAAAAATACAGACTCAATAGATCTGGGAGCTGTGGGGACATGGGGGAGGGGGCACAACAGATTTAGGGGTGAAATGGAATCAGAAGACTTCTAGGTTATGACTGGCCTGGGTAAGACAGTACAAAAGCAGTAGCTCAGACTGAGAGTAGCAGTGACAACGGGAGTTTTCCCTGTGTGCGAGAATGAAAACAAGACAACTCAGACCCTTAGAGCTTTCAACCCAAAAGGGGAAAGGTCTAGAAGGGGAGAGCTAACTTGGCTCAGGTAAGCTGGCTCATCCCTTTTCTCCAATTCCTCTGGGATAGAATATCTTTAAAGAAGCTTCTCATCCATAGGGGGTTTCTTGATTTATAACCAGTAATCTGTCACATAGCTCAGAATCACATCCACAGGGTTAGTGTCAACTTTCAAAAACACTACAGCAAAGAAGAAAGGCAATCAAGCCAGGAAAGCACTAGAAGCATTCCTAGTCCAGTTTTGAAGGCAGAGCTCCCCAACCCTGCCGGTTCTGCTTTTCACATTCAAAGAGTTGCTGCCCGGGTTCATGGGCCCAGCTGGCCTGCTTTGAGGGACAGGGCTGCTGCCCCCTGCCAAGGAAGGAGACTTCTCCCACCCCACTTAGGTGCTAGTCTCCTAGACCCCTTTTCTCCTGCCTGGCAGCAGAGAGAGCCCATCATTAATTGGCAGCATAGCAAACAGCCTCACCCCGCAGTGACCGGCCCCATCCTCACCAGGGGCGTGGCGGGGGGGGCTGCCTTGGTCCTTCACCTACCCATGAGTTTAACAGATATAACCAGTTCCACACAGCAAGAGTAACCGTTGTCCCACAAACGTTGGGACATTATGTCACGGGGACATGGGTGATTGAGATTAGAACACAGTTGAGGAATATTTTGAATTAACTGGGATTTGAGCGAATAGTGTGTCTGCCTGGGAGTGAGAGGGACAGGTTTGTTGCATCTCTTGTGGGTACAGTAAAAAATTTGAGTTGTGGGGTAAACTTTGCAATGAGGTATTTGGAACTGAGCTGTCTTTGGGACTGAGATTTTAGCGTTGCCACATTTCAGATCAAGAGTTACTGAAGTGTTTAACCTGGAGATGAGAATAAATGAGATTTATTCTGAGGTGAGCATGGGGTTTGAAATATATAAACATGGGGTGTTTTCCCCGGGAATATCTGGAATTTCAAGGTAACAATGTTGGGGAATGGAGGTGACTGGCACTGTGGTAGGGGTAGGATCTGGGACTAGACATTTCTGGTCATTGGGAGATTTCCTGATGCTAATGGTTATCAACAGAAACAGCATGAGAATTTGTGGAAAAAAGAGTTAGAGGCCTGCGAAGACGAGAAGCAGTGAGACTGAACCTGCAGTAGAGTCTGACCTTCCTTTTGTATATGTTGATTCTGAAGGTGGGCCATGAGCCGATGCCCCCCACCATTGGGACCAATGTGCTGGGGAGGAAGGTCCTCTATCTGCCGAGCTTCTTCACCTACGGTGAGTGTGCTGCCAAGTCAGGAAAGCCCATGCTGACAAAAAAAAAAAAGTATCAAATGGGGAAGCTGGCCCTGGGGGACGCTGTGGGCAGCATGACACCCAGAGTCAGAGCTGGATGGAGGAGGAGATCCTGGAGTGTGGCGGAGAGGCGCCAGGGTTTGGGGGCAGAGCAGGTGAACAGCACAGCTCTGGTCCAGCTCCTCTGCTCAGGCAGGGGGAGAGCAGACAGCGCCTCAGAGGAGGGGCCAGTCAGGACACTGGCCCCTGTCATCCCTGGTTGTGCTGGGGATGGGGGGGGGATGAGTTTTGCCTTCTGAGCAGTCGACCCCCTTACTAGCTTCTCTGCTTTCCTGCTACTCTAGGAGGCCTGTCGGGACCTCCTGGGTCCTTTCCTTCTTTCTCCATCCTTTTCTTTGTGTTTCTTTCATGGTGCCAGCTCACCGCATCTCCACCCACTGGGTGTAGACCAGTGAGCAGTGAGTTGTGGCTTCACCTCTGGCATGCCCTGACCAGCTCTGTGAGCTTGGGCCACTTAACTGCCCTGGCTGAGTAGTCCCTCTGTGAAGTGGCATCAGTGCCTTCCTGCCTGGCCCTTCGTACACCTTCTCCCTGCTCCAAGCAGCCCTGCCTGTCAGGAGGTCTCTCCACCAAGAGGCCCAACACAGGGGAGCTTGCCTGGTGCCAGTGGAGCCCACCGGGCCACCTCTACTGCTCATCCTCTGGCCCATGGGCGCCAGCTGCCCAAGGTCTTTTCAAGTCTACTTTTGCTTTCCCTCCACAGTCCCTACCCTCACAGGTGGACCGTGACAGACTTTGTTTAAATGTGCCTTTGTTATTCATGTTTACAGCCAGCCCGCCCCCTCGTGCTTCCCCTGCCTTTGTTCACACCTGTTTGGTCACTCCAGATGCTCTCTGGAAATCTTTCTATCCACTGAATAACAGGGCTTTGCCTCCTGTCACCGTTTTTTCACTTCACGCACTTTTGGCAGAATCTGATGTGATGGTTCTCTTTCAGTCTTGCTACCTTGTTGTTGAGGACAGTCCGGGGCCTGGCGAAACATGTCATTTTATGGGGAAATATGTTCGTATTTGTTTTTACTTAATATTGTCACTGTGGGGGAGGGGAAGTCAGAATTAGGAAGGTCCCCCACCCCGAAGTAGAGTGAGGCCGGTGGCCACAGTCGGCACCGGATCCTGGGCAGCCGGGGTGGGAGGCTGCCAGCCCCTCCTGGGTGGTTTCTCTGTTGCCACCTTGGTGTGCTCCCTCCACACAAGGGCCTCAGGCAGAACCCGGGCCTGGCTCACCACACAGTCGCTCCCCAAAGCACTCAGGTTGAGAGGTCTTGACTCACTTTTCTGCCTCTTGTAGAGTTGAGCAGAGTTCCGAGGTGCTCCCCCCACCCCAGTTTACACACCTGTTGTTTCGGTCCAGATGCTATGGCAGATGCCGGCCGGGTGGTTCCAGGCACCATGTGGCTCTCCCACCAGGGAGAGGGCTCAGCTGTGGGGATGTCTAGGGGCTGCCCGGACAGCACCTGCTCCTCTGCTGTCGCAGGGAGTTGGTCAGAGGGAGGTTGAAAAGAACTTCTGGAGAGTTCCAGGGCCTGCAGAGAACCCCTGGAATGAAGGAGTCTCTGGCCAGCCACGGGGCCTTCCCTCTGTTTTCTTCCTGCCTTTCTCCACTCTCACTTGTTCATGCTTAATCTCCGAGGTGGAGAGAAATAGGGGTCCTTAACTCCTTTCTCACTGGCGGGCAAGTCGGATAGAAAGAGGTTAAGTGTCTCCCTAGAGATTACACTTTGGCTTTACCCTTCCGCTGACTGCCTTCCCCAAGATAAACTTTCCTTCTGCCTGTTCACTTTGAAGCAGGGCGCCTTGCCACCTCGTCCAGGGCCCTTTCACCTCCCACTCCTCTCTGCCCAGCCCCACCCATCTCAGGAAGCCGAGTAGGCAGCTAACAGGTGCCTGGGCCCCAGTGAAAGCCGGAGCTAGCAGCAACATTGGGTTTCAGAGAAAGGCCTGGCGTGCTGGCTCCTGCCACAGTGCGGTGCCGGAGAGCTAAGTCGTGGGTGTGCAGGGAGCCACTGTCTGAGAGAGTGTTCTGCCAGCATTGCAAAATACATTGCCTCTTTCAACGTAGCTTAAAAGTTGGTATTGCATAAAATAAAACATTAAAAAGGGACCCTAATGAAAAAACACTGACTAGCTAGTAGGGTCTAGCTTCCCTGACTGCTTAAGTTTTTTCTGTGAAGTAGTTCACTGGTGCCTCTGTTTTGGTTACTCCTCCGCTTGTTTCCTCCCACCCCCCTCCCCATCTTGATGAATAAATAAATGCCAACTGGTGCCTTGACCAGTGTGGCTCGGTTAAACGCCCTGCAGCGCAGAAGGTCGCCAGTTAAGTTCCCAGTCAGGGCACATGCCTGGGGTGTGGATTCATCGCCTGTTGGGGCCTGTGAGAGGCAACTGGTCCATGTTTCTCTTTCTTCCTCCCTTCCCCTCTCTCTAAAAATAAATAAAACCTTTAAATAATAAATAAAGTAAATGCCGACGGGCCAGGTGGGATCCTGGGCAAAGCACAGTGACAGGGTGGGGACGCCCTTCCTTGGCACACTCGGGGGACACTGTGGAGCCTTCCTTCTGGGAGCCCTTTTTCTTTTTTCCTCCCCTGGGTTGCAAACTATCACCGGCTATGGGAACTCTGCCTTCTTCCTTTTTTTCCTTTCCCCTGAGAACAGTATTTCTCTATATACAACAGAGTTGGTGTCTGGGTTGCAGCACTAAAGTTGCTGAGTTAAAAAAACTGCACTTGAGTTTGCTGAGTAGATATTTCAAAGCTAAAAAAAAAGTAAATGTCAGAAATATGTTTCAAAGGCCTTTACACAAAGGAGCAGGGAATAGAGAAGAAATTGGGGTGGAGCCTGATCACTTCCAGGGTCCTGGACTGATGCTCCCCTCGGTGACAGAGGGCAGCACGTACTGAGGGATGGGCACCTGGTCTGGGTGTGAGTGCGACTCAGGAGTGGGCGTCTGGGCTGGGCGTGACGCTGCCGCCTCTCTCCCTTACAGCCAAGTACATTGTGCAGGTGGATGGGAAGATAGGGCTCTTCCGAGGCCTGAGCCCCCGCCTGATGTCCAATGCCCTCTCCACTGTGACTCGGGGCAGCATGAAGAAGGTGAGCCTCGAGCAGAGTACGGTTCCCCTGAGCTCCCTGCCACCGCCAGGTAGCCGTGTACACTCGTCTAAGACTCCTTGACTGGGTGGATCCCTGCCCCACAGCCCTGCTTTCCCACAGCTATGACGCCGGGCAGGGCCTTTCCGCCCCGAGCTCCAGCCCTGGGGTTACCTGAGGCTGGCCCAGCTAATGGGCACTCCACAGAAAGTTGTGGAAGCTGCTTCCTACAGTCTCCGCCCCGGGAGCCACCTTTGAGAGGCATATCTGTGTTTTGCTTTTGGCCCTCTTGTTTTTTGTGTCTCAGGTTTTCCCTCCGGATGAGATCGAGCAGGTTTCCAATAAGGATGACATGAAGACTTCCCTGAGGAAAGTGGTGAAGGAGGTGGGTGTTGGAATCAGAGAGGGCGAGGCCCTGGGAGGGGGGTCAGGGTATTTCTCACCACTGAGCTGGGCAGGTCATTGAAGAGTCTCAGGATGGGGTCCTTGTACTTGCATGGGACAGGGACGTAAAAGGAGCCCCACTGTGGACATATAAGGAATCTCAGAAAGCCTTGAGCCATCACGGGGCCTGGCCTGGGACCCGGTAGCACTCCTGGGTGGAAGGAATTGGGGGGTGGGTGACAAGTGGGGCCATCTGAGTTAGACTGGCCCCACGTGGGCGCTGCGGAATCTCAGGTTGTTCCCCACCTGATTTCTCAGTTATGCAGGAGTGCCAGTTCCAGAGACAGGCTGAACCGAGTGTCCCCCTCTGCTCTCTTGCAGACCTCCTACGAGATGATGATGCAGTGTGTGTCCCGCATGCTGGCCCACCCACTGCACGGTGAGCAGCCCCACTGGAGGCTGCGGCTCAGCTGTGGGATGACCCCTGGAGGACTGTAGCTGGCGGTGGGGTAGGGGTATTCCATAGCAACCCCACTGGGGAGAGACACCTTCCTTGGTGTCTGTCACCCACCTTACTTTACCTGTAGAGAAACTGCATACCAAAAAGACTGCGTCCAGACAGAATAACCCACAAATGGAACCTAAAAGCCAGGCCTAACAAGTGTCATTTGCTTTGCCTTTAAAGGTCTAAGCAGTGACGTGTACATGTCAGGAGTCCTGTCCGAAGGGAGCTGGGGCTCTCCCCGGGCAGAGGAAATAGGATGCCATGGTCGTGGGGTGTGACAGTGAAGTCCAGAGCCCCTCCTGCCTCCTGCCCCGGGCTGTGCTGAATGGTGGCCTCTACAGCAGGCCCTCCACGACGGGGCTTCGTGTGTTTGCCTCAGGTCACCTGTGTGTTTTCTTTTTCCCCAGTCATCTCAATGCGCTGCATGGTTCAGTTTGTGGGACGGGAAGCCAAGTACAGGTGGGTAATTCTTCTTGGGACAGATAGGTGTGGCCTCGTCACCATTCAGAGTCTGCCAGGACAGGCTGTGCTGGGTCAGTCACTGCCCCTTTTCTGCCCTAGTTCTAATATGCCGAATTAAGGGGAACGTGGTGATTCCCATTGTCTGTGTCCAGGGGCATTTTCTCAGTATCTCTTGTCAGGGCTGCTCAGGATGAGCCTGGGGGCCTGCAGCGGCGGTGAGTGCAGTTGGAGTCGGCTTGGATATGGAGTCCTGGCAGCAGAGCTGATTCTGCCACTTAGGACTGAGCCAGGGTTCCCTCCTGGGCACCCTGGGTTATGCCCTAACGATTTCCCCACTGTCATTGCACCTGGCTTACAGCTCGATCCTCCTCTGTCCACTTCAGTTGATTACCAAATACTAGCACCTGCATGCACTGCACTGTTCAGGGGTGCTACGGGGGGACTGGGTGTGTTGACATGCGCCTTCCATGTGGCAGGAGGACATGCCCATTACCTTCCTCTCTAAGGTTCTCGTGTCCTGGCTTCAGTTCTTCTCTGCAACTGTCCTGTGGGGCCACTGCTCCAAGAAGCTCAGCTGCTATGGGGCCTCATTTTGGTTCACTAATGGGAAATCGGCCCATTTCCCCAGACTGAAATGTGAGGCTGGCAGATGGGATCAGGAGTGGCCCAGCTACTGTCCTGAGAAGAAAGGTAGTGGGGCCTGCCAGGGCTCAGGGGCCTGGGGGCAGCACTAGCCAGGGCTTCGGCTCCCACCGTCTTTCTCCCACCTAGGCCACTACTGCACCTAGGCTTTGCAGAGCTTCATTAGGATGGGCCACTTGGGTTTGGTAGCCACAGGTCAGAGAGGTTGCTCTTGAGCCTCCTTTGCATGTCACACCTAGGAGCCAATTCTCTAGTCTCCCATAGGCTGTGGTGACCAGGGCACTCATTCCCAAGCTCCTTGCTGGGCGGAGGGGTGGGCATTTGCCTTTGTCCAGGCTGCTTCTGGGCTGTGTGATCCCAGGACCTCCTGCTGCAGGGCCTAGTGTTCCTCTGCCCTCTGGAGAGGTGGTTCTCGCCACTTGCCACTCCACCTGCTCTCACGCTGTGAGTCATGCAGGCTTCTCTGCTTAAAGGGCGTTCAGCCAGAGATAAGCACTAGGGCCAGGCCGGAGAAACACCAGTCATGGTGCAGCAGCCCAAGCTTGGAAGGGTTATTCCTAAATTCCAGACCCATGGAGAACAGCGGTTGCTCACTGCTAGGGTTCTGGTGGTGGCAGTGATGGTGGTGGTAGGGTTTCTCTGGTCTCTGTGAACTAGGTAAGTGCCCCTACTCCCAGATAAGAGCTCTCTAATCTCCACTGGTTCTGCCTGGTAACAGAATTTTGGCTGCCCCGCCCAGCCAGGACTGGATGGCTCTGAGCAGGGGTGAGGAGGTGGGGGCCTTCTCCAGGTGACTAGGTGACCTCTGTCCTTGTCTTACTTTCTTCACAGTGGTGTGCTGAGCTCCATTGGGAAGATTTTCAAAGAGGAGGGGCTGCTGGGATTCTTTGTGTACGTGAGTTTGTACCCCGCAAATCTGGCTCTACTAACAGGCTCACTCTCAACCTCTTAGGCCACAGCTGCTGGCCTCAGACTAACCACAAGCCCTGCCCCTCTGCCCACCCTCCCCATGCCCCCTGCCCGAGTAGCTGCACTTTCACGGCATGTGCGAGCCGGGGATCATCAAGCCAAAGCTTCCCAGCCCTTTCCAGATCACGGCTCACTCACAGGTGGTGCAGTTTATCAGCTGCTGGCTGGACTGAGCCCAAAGGCCCAGTCCATTCGCCCCAGGGCCAGAGGAGGGCATGCGGGTGGACGTGAGCAAGGGCACTCCATTGTCCTTGTTTCACTGCTGAAAGTAACTGAAAATCTGTGACAGGGACTAGGGGTCAAACACTGACAGCTCACAGGCCGACTCCAGCGGATGGCTTCTGTTTGACAGCATTTCTGACGAATCAGTTCTTCACATTTAACATTTAGGATCTTAACATAACAATCCATATTTTCGACTTCTCTTGAAAAGCCAGAAAACCTGGCCCCTCCGGGCCTGCGTTATGTAGAGCACCTGTCACCTGTCAGCAGGGCACATGATCTCCCAAAGGCCACAGACACCCTGCCTTCCTTGAGTCTCTCACCCGCCTTACTTTACCTGTAGAGCAACCACATACTGAAAAGACTGTGTCCAGACAGAATAACCCACAAACGGAACCTAAAAGCCAAGCTAACAAGTGGCATCTGCTTTGCCCTTAACGGTCTAGGCAGTGACAGGGACATGCCAGACACGGGGCCATCTGTTAAGTCATGCTGTGGGTGTATTTGCCAGGCGTTTTTATTTACCATCTCATTTAACCCAGAAGCGACCATGTCTGCGTGTTTTCCATCAGGGGGTGATGTTTGCCTCCAGGAACACTGGTACTGTCTGAAGACAGCTTTTGGTTGTCACAATTGGAATTTGGTGGGTAGAGGCTGGGGATGTTGCCATACATCCCACAGTGCAAAGGTCAGCCCCTGCAACGAAGAATTCTTCGGCCCCAAATGTCAACAGTGCAAAGGTGGCAAGCCTTGATTTGTATACACACATAGGTGTATGTGTGTGTCTCTGTATGCACTCACACACGTGCATATACACATGTGAGTACATATTTGCCCATGTGACTGGTGCATTAGGCTTTAAAATAGTACATCTCACCACCCCTGGCATTTTCCACACTCATACAGTTTTATTCTGGTATGTGAATAGCATTCCTGCTGGGTTACTTAACCACCAGGTTCCCTCTCCCCTAATGTGTGTGTGGGACAGGCAGCGCACCCAGGTGCGGCAGGGCGTGTGCGTCCGCCCCTCAGCACGGGTGGAGGCTGCAGGACAAGAAACTGCTCACGGACGCCTATTTTGTTAATATTCCTCATAACATAGATGTGTTGCTTATATTTTTTGAACTTTTAAAATAGTTTGAAATAAGATTTTTAAAAATTCAAAAATCACAATTCTGCTTCCTCTCCTAAGAGAGAGCCGTTCTTCTGGAAATCTTCTCAAGTCATCCCATATCTGAACAAGTAAATAAGCACATTAAAGGTCCATGTATTGCACACAGGACCCACTGATCTCAGTCTGGCTTTTTGTCCTCAGCGCTGTATTTTGAGGGAACCTTCCATACCTTTTGGCAGAGGTGTTATCACAAACGCCATCACTTTAAAAGTCAGTCCTCCCTGTAAAGGCTTGCATGAAATGTCTTCATTAGAACATTGCAGAGGGTGAAGACAACAGCTGTATTGAGCAAAGTGTTTTTGTGAGAGTTGATTAGGTAAAGAGGCCAGGAGAAAACTTACCAGCACGTAGGCACTCTTTCATAATCTGTATGGAAAATCCCATATTTAGTAGCATTCACATCCTGAGGCCTGGCCTGTGTGGTTTGAAAACTGCTTGTGGTACCATAAACTAATCTGTGGTGTCAGACGTGGCATAGAACACTCGCCCCTGAACGCTGCCTTCCTGGTGTGGGTAGCTGGTGACCCACATGGCCCTGCAGGCTTCTTGCCTGACATATTGGATGCTGAAGTTCAAAGCTTGGAACGTTCTGCTTCCAGGGTGTGGAGCCTCCAGGAAATGGTCTCTCCCTCCCCAGCTCATCTTTGCTCACCTTGTCTTTTAGCGGCTTAATCCCTCACCTCCTGGGAGATGTGGTTTTCTTGTGGGGTTGTAACCTGCTGGCCCACTTCATCAATGCCTACCTGGTGGATGACAGCGTGAGTGACACCCCAGGGGGGCTGGGAAACGACCAGAATCCAGGTTCCCAGGTTGGTTGGAACAAGGACTTGTCTGTCTTTTCGTGTACTGCCGGTGCCCAGGGTCTGGGGCAGACTTGAGGACTCTGGGGTTCTGAGCATCAGGTCCCAAGGGCTAGAGAGGTCTTCTGGGGACGTGGTCTGAGAAGAGGACTTGGTTGTCCCAAGGTCAGCTGTCCCTCCAGACAGGACACCTGCAGGAGTTTATGGAATGCCTGTCCTGGGCAGAGTTAGAAATAAGACAGGTCCCTGCTTGTCCAAACTGGTTTGACTCAGGACCCAACTAGGGAGCAGGAAACAGAAATAGACAGGCTAACAATAGCCCTTCAACTTTTGCTCAGTATTTTATATTTTCCGAATCCTTTTGTGGACATTATGGCATCTGATCCTGACGATAGCCCAGGTGTGAAGGGAATAGGGCAGGTACACCCCCCTGTTCCACAGGCAGAGAAGTTGGGACCCTGACATTAAAGGGCCCTCCAGAGGCACTTGGCTGGGAACCAGCAGGGCAGGGACTAGATTTTTCCTGTGCTGGACGGGGGGTGCTCCCCCTCTTGAGGTTTTCCGAATCAGCTAGGAAGTGTACTGGCCAGGAGCACCCCACTGTTTCGTTAGCAGTGGCTTGCACAGATAGCTGTACACAGGCCTCTCCGAGGTTGGGCAGACATAGGGAAGCCTTGGTGCTTTGAAAAGGCATGTGGAAGAAAGGCATCCAAGGACATGATGGGTTGGCTGGTTCTGTGTGAATCAAGATGAGTTGGGGAACAGTGATGGGCGGGGGTTTTCTGGTAGCCAGGCATTGTAACGGTAGAGATTGCCAACCCCAGGAAGGAAGGTGAGGGAGGGGTTAGGGACCTGTCTGCCAGAATCACCGGCGGGGGGTGGGGGGGAGCAGGTGCGTGGGTCAGTCTGCATGTGCCTGTGTCTGTGTAGCTGCGTGTGTGTGTGTGTGTGTGTGTGTGTCTGGGCACAAGTCTGGCGAGGAGTGCCCTGTCCCCACTGAGAGCCTCTGCTCAGAGGGAAATTGTTGGCCTGTTTGACTTGGGTAGGTAAGTCTTAACGGCCTTTCCATGTGAACAAATTCAAGCAGCTCTGTAGAGGCCAGCTCCCATCTTCAGTTACAGTAGCCATGGCCCTGCGCTTTCTCAGGGGCCTCCTGTGTCAGGTAGCTGCTGCGGTCACAAAGAGCCAGGCTGGACAGCTGGGGTGTCTGGGCTGGGGAGTATCTCCAGCTGATTGGTTTCTCCTGTCTAGGTGGGCAGGTGTTTGAACGGGGGCTGCTGCACTTAACGTCACCACCAACAGCAGTCAGCAGCTTCACTGAAAGTATTTTTCAACTGCTCTTCCGTGTGTGGCTGAAAGGCTAAGATGAAGCTGCCACTCAGGCAGAGAGGGCTGAGCAGACGTGTACCCAGGGTCGCAGGGTGTCCACCTGGTGGGATGGCCCTGCCACAGGAAGCTCAGGAATAGGTAGCCCCACTTCCTGGGCAAAATAGGCTGTAGGAGTTGGGGCCCGAAGACGACGAGAGCCTGCTGAGGTTGAAGGCGACGGGAAGCCCAGACCCCCTCACATTGCTGGGAGACCAGCATTTTGTGCCTGGGCAGTTAAGGTGGCTGCCAAGCCTCGGACATTAGTCAGGGCAGACACAGGCCAAGCCCTCAGAGCTCACAGCTCAGTGCAGGTATGTAGGGCAGCAGCCAGGGAGCCACTCGCCTGGCCTTCACGTCTGCTCCTCGCTATCCCCAATGAGGTCATGGGTGTCCTGTAGTCTGGTTACCCTACTTCTGCCTCGCAGGTCTTTTCTGGGCTCTGCTGCAAGGCTGTGGAAGCCGCCAGAGGTCCAGAAAGAAACATAGTGTGCGCAGTGGGCGTGTGAGGCCGGGGTGGGGTGAGGGGACCGCAGACCAGGTGGAGGTCTGCATATCTGACGCCTGCATCCTGAGGGGAGGCGCCTGTGGCAATCCGGTCTCCCTTTCTGTCTCTTCAGTTCAGCCAGGCCCTGGCCATCCGGAGCTACACTAAGTTTGTGATGGGGGTAAGTCAAGCCGGCTGCCCTTCCCACTGTGCTGTGGGCCTCTGGGTAGGGGGGCTTTGGAGAGACCAGCCCTAGTACAGGGTGTTGGCCCAGCGAGTCCTGCTCCTTGGGCCCCGGGGCTGGTGCTGGTGAGGGGGTTGCTGACGTTCAGGTGTCCCTGGATTTCAGATTGCAGTAAGCATGCTGACCTACCCCTTCCTGCTGGTTGGTGACCTCATGGCTGTGAACAACTGTGGGTAGGTGTGCACCCCTCCACCTGGCTTCTTCCGGGGTACACCGCCCCCTTTGGGATGACTGGTTCAGGATGAGGGTGGCAGCAGCTCCAAGCCATCCCTTCTTGAGGTCTCCTTTTCCTGGCTGGTCAGCTTCTGTGTGCTCTGGGTCTTACATACTCTCTTTCCCTGGCAGGCTGCAGGCTGGGCTTCCCCCCTACTCCCCAGTGTTCAAATCCTGGATTCACTGCTGGAAGTACCTGAGTGTTCAGGTAAGCAGGCTCCCAAAGGGGGAGGTGTTTCCCAGTCCCACTCGGCGAGCACATGAAACGGTTTCGTGGGCGCTTCACTGCTCGGAAAGATAGGGGGTTGTCATGGGTTCCAATGTTGTGAGTGGGGAGGACGTAGACCTGGCCTTAGGCATTTAAATTGACTTTTCGCTTTATTTTGGGAAGGATTTGAGATAGTTAGATCTGAGTTTGCTTAAAAATTTACATCAGAAAAGATCCCTTTTTCTTTAACCACCATGGAGGGAGCCATGGGGAGGTGGCGAAGCCCAAGGACCCGTCTTAGACTTTGAGCGACATGGCTGGAGATGCAGCCGTGGGGTCGGGACCAGCTCCTGCCGGGCGGGTGGCTGCCGAAAGCTGAGTCCTCCTGCTGGACATCCAGTGCCCAGGAGAGCGTGAGGGTTGAGCTGGGCCACAGGGTGAGCCTGCTGAGCGGGCCGTTCTTGGGGTTTTATGTTCTGTGCCCAAGCACCTTCCTGCTGGCTGGAGCTCCAGGAACCAGAGGTTAAGAATCCTGGCGTCCAAGGCAGATTCTTGCCTTTTCCTAGCCTTGTGTTTGCCTTGTAAAATGGGTGAGCGGCCTGGGAGCAGCCATTGCAGTGACCGGCCTCAGGTTGAGAAGAGGACAGACAGAGGGAAACAGCGAGGCAAGAAGAGGGCGCAGGTCTCCCCAGCGACTGGTCCATTCTGCCTGTGCCACATCCCGTGGGCGTCGGGGGAGGCCCGGACCACTTGGGCTCGGGGGCCAGATGGGCAGTACTCCCCAGCACCCACTCTTCGGGGGTGCCTACCAAGTAGCCCATCAGCACTGGACACACTGGGGCATGAAGCGAGCCACTCCAGCACAGGGCAGATCGTGGCCTTGCCGTTCTGGGATGCAGGCCTAGGCCCTCCTCCCAACCCTGGGCTCTCTGGGCTGCTGGAGCCTCTTTGCTTCATGCTGGCCTTGCTCCGGGGCAGGGTGTGGAGGATGGCCTCCCCTTTCACTGACTGACCTGACTGTTCCTTCCAATCCAGGGCCAGCTCTTCCGAGGCTCCAGCCTCCTTTTCCGCCGGGTATCGTCAGGATCGTGCTTTGCCCTGGAGTAACCTGAATCACTAAACACGCTGTCCCAGCCTGGCCACTGTGGGTGAGGCCTGTCCATCTCGGGCGCTTGTAAGACAACTCCAACCCAGTGACATCTAGATGTGCTCCTGCCCAGCTGGACTTCGGCGTCCATGTTTGCCATGTGTCTGTCCAGAAGTGGGGGCTGGGTGGGGAGGCTACACCCACTGATTGGTCACCTGTTAGACCTGGGGAAGGTGGGGCAGAGCTGGAGAGCTGGGGTGGAATCCCCTTTCTTCACAGATTCGCTATGTCTGCTTTGTGCAGGGGGCCAGAAAATGGCTCATAGAGGCCCAGGTTGGATGGGAAAAGTCTCTCAGTGTCAGATCCCACCCCCGGTCAGCCCCAGCTCTCACCCTGCAGCTCAGCTGGGTGTTGCTCTCCTGCTTGTAAATAGGGCACAGTCCCTTTTCACAAGGCCACCATCATGTCCAGGCCTGTGCTAGGAAGCTATTGCTAGGTTCTGCCTTTGTTTCCTGAACACTACTTTTCTGATACAAAGGCAGCACCCTCCGAATGAGAAATCATGTGACCGCTGAGAATGTGTCCCCTCATCAAATGCTCATCGGTTTAATGGTGACGCTTTGTGTGCAGGATCTAGTTACCTGTGCAGTTGTGCACACTCGGAAGTTAGGCAGATCAGTGTCTTTAGTCCTACCCAGTTTAAAAGTTCCTGATAAGATTTGACCTTTCCTCCCTCAAATAAATGTACTGGTGGTGATTTGGAGTTTTGCGGGGAGTCTCTGATTTTGATGAGCATAAAAGCTGTAATCTTTCTCAGTCCTCAGTGTTAGTGTGCGGAGGGGCCGTAGAGCCCAGGGCTGTGGCAGCTCAACCTGGGATGCTAAGCGCCAGGCCCTGTGGAGACCAGCCTGGAGGGGGCGCCAGGGAGACCAGACGATTTGCTGAATCAGACCATAATGAGATGCCAGTTTACAGATGAACAAGTAGTGCATAGGCCTGTCGCCATGGAGACAGGCTTCCCATTTTCAGAAAATGTTCCACCCAAACCCCGAATTGTCATCTCTGCACTGTTTGGCATTTGCAGTTCACTGAGTGTTTTGGGGGTAGCAGTCACATGATTAGAGAAGGAGCCAGCATGGGCCCAGCGTAAGCACCAAGGCTTGCCTCCTCTAGAAAAGACAGGGTGCCCCTCCATTCACTTCCGCCCAGCACCAGGTTCTGTAAACAGGCAAAACTTACAATAGGGCATCCTGTCCTGGAGATCACGGGCTTCCATCTGATGGGGTTTGAATTCCCATGGAAGTCCAGCTAGGTATTTCTTTGCCCTTGCTCTAATGTTGCAGTCTGGTGACTTTGGTCATGCACCTCACAGGTGTGGGCTGAGTCACCTCCAGGAAAGGCCCCAGGACACTTGGAGAACTGGCTGTCCCCAGTGGCCTAGTAACAGTTGACCTGAGAGCAGTTTGTTATGGATCCTTGTTCCCCAAGAACACATGGAAGTGCCTCAGCGGGTGTCCTGTAAATGCACATTGGTTGAGGCCACTTAGGTCTCGTACTCACTTCAGATACCTGAATCGGACACCGCCACCCCCAGGAAGCCCACGTCTCCCCTTCCTTCACCAACCCTGTTAGGGGTAACTTTTCTTGTTGCTCCGTGTTTGAATCCTGTTTTTGTACTGATTACTTCTTACGGTCCCCCAGATTTAGAGCCACTTGCTTCTCTGGAATCCTGTGCTGAGCTTGCCCCGAAGGGCCCCTCCCTCTATATTTTCAGTTGAGCAGAGTCCAGGTTTTACCCTTAACTTCTAAAGCACATTTTCAGCTCAATATTCAGATGTATGTCGTGTATATTAAAGGCTGGCTTTGTTCCTGGTTCCCTCAGTGTTTAAGGGCTGAGGCTTCACTTGCCCTCTGAGCACCTGGCATGTTCCCTGTTGGGCCAGGAAACTAGAATGACAAGGTCCACATTTGAGAGAGGAGATTGGGCAGGAGGGAAGCTTGAGCTGTTGGCAGGAGGGGCGATGGAAGCAGAAACGTAGGAAGCCAGTCACCCTCCTCCCCTTCAGGAATACTTAATTCTGATGGATAAGGCTGGAAAAGCCTGTGGTGGCCCTTTTGGGTCCCCCTGTGAAAAAGCCTGAGGTGGCAGAGGAATCCTAAGCTGGCTCTCCGCTGTGGTCCCTCTCACTAAGCCGTTCCCCAGATGCCAGGGAGCCATGCAGCATGACGCTGGAGCCGACCCCTCCCCACCGGATAGGAGGCCTGAGTGCTGGCCCTTGCCATCGGAACACACCCTCCCGTCATGTCCTCTTGGGCCTGTACTGACACATCCCCTCCCCACCCATTTGTCACGGGCTGGCCTGACCATGTGGAACAACATGGTTATTTCCCTAAATATGCTTCCAAAGAGGTCCCTGGTCCTGGTCTTGGATAGTTTCCCTGACAGTTTTCCTGAGGTCTGACCACGAGTGTGCTTTGTAGGAGGCACGGTCCTCTCAGAAACTAGGAAAAATGGGTTTGGACCACCACAGTTCGGTGCCCGGAGGCCACCGCAGCTGACCACCTCAGGGGACCCAGGAGGCAGCGTAAGAAAACAGGAACACAAGTTGGACCAACATTTGGAAATTGGTGTAATACACTTATATCCACGCGTAAGGAACAAAAGCCATAGGATCACTTCAGTAGACACCAAAAAAGAATTTTGACAAAATTAAATACCCTTAATGATAAAAAGCATTCAAAAAACCTAAGAAAAGAGACCTTCCTCAGCCTGATCAGTGATATAACCTGGTAAGTATGAAAAACCCACAAATAACACTGAATCGTGAGAGACCTAACATTTTTCCCCTGAGATCAGGAATAAGAAAAAGATTTCTGCTTGTGCCACGGCAGGGCTTAACACTGCCCTGGGGAGACCAGCCAGGGCAGTTGTGGGGGGAATTCTCTGGGTCAGAAAGGAAGAAGTAAAACTGTCTCTGTAGGTAACATGATCTTACGTATAAAAAATCCTAAGGAATCCACTAAAAAATACTTCTATAGTAAGTGAATTGAGCAAGTTGTAGGATTCAAAATCTGTATACAAAATCGATTGTATTTCTGTACACTTGGCAATTGGACAAAGTGCACATGAAAATTTTATTTACAATGGCATCAAAAATAACAAAGTACTTATGAACAAATTTTACAAAAGAATTGAAAAACCTACTTTGAAAACTATAAAACACTGTTGAAAAATTAAAGGAGACCTAAACGAATAGGAAGATATCTTCTGCTCATGGACTGGAAGGCTTAACAGTTAAGATGGCAGATTACACCCACCCTATTAAAATCTCTGCTGACGATGCAGGAATTTGACAAGCTGTTCCTAAAATTAATATTGAAATTCAAGGGGCTGAGAAAAGCCTAAGTAGTCTTGAAAAAGAACAAAGTTGGAGGACTTGCACTTCCTGATATCAAAACCACAAAGCTACAGTAATCAAGAAGGTGTGGTACCAGCATCAAGACAGACGAACGAATCAGTGAGATAGGATCCAGAGTCCAGAAATAAGCACTGACTTTTATTTTGACTGCTTTTGACATGGGCAGTGACAGACGGGAGAGAATAATCTTCAGTGAAAGGTGCTGGGGCAGTGGGGTGTGTACATCGCATAAGAATGAAGTTGGATTCCCGCTTTATACCACAGACAAAAATTAATTAAAAATGTATCAAAGACTTAAATGTATATAAAACTCTTAGAAGAAAACATAGGCCTAAGTCTCTGTCACCTCGGACCGGGCACTGGTTTCTTAGCTATAATACCAAAAAGTACAAGGAGCAAAATGAAACAAATTGGTAAATTTGACATTGTCAAAACGTAAAACGTGTTCAAAAGATATATAACATCGACAGAAATTGGAAAGACAGCCTACAGAATGAGAGAAAATGTTGAAATGAACAGGGAGTGACAGCTATGTGTGGGGTTTTATTGGGGCCGGTGAAAACGTTCGAGTTGATGGTGGCTGATGGCTGCGCAACCCTGTGATACACTTAGAGCCACTGAGTGGTACAGCGTATTTTTAGAGAGGGGGAAAGGGAGAGAGAGAGACATTGATCGGTGCCTCTTGCACATATCCTGAATGGGGGTGGAACCTGCACCCAGGCATGTGTCCAGGTCAGGAGTGGAACCAGCGACGTTTTGCAAGATGGTGTCCAACCCACTGAGCCACACCAGTCGGGGATGAGGGATACAATTTAAATGAGTAAATTTAATGTCATATGGATTCTATCTTAATGGAGTTACATTATATTATATATATGTACGTGGAAGGCACGCAGCCTTGGCCCGACTAGAATGCTTCCTGTTTAACTGCTGACACTGCCTTTGGCCTAGAGACTGTCCCTCCGCCCCTTGCCAACCCCAGCTTGGTCCCAAGTCCTCCTCAGTTGTCTACTGTTGCTGTCCCCCCACACACGCACAGTTGTGCTTTTCTGCCTCGCGGCACTTATGGACAGTCCTGCTGTGCTCCAATCCTGGGTGTTAGAAAGGGAGGGGGACCCCAGAATCTTTCTCAGGACTCCTCCAGTAACTAAGGGTTAGCAAAGCCAGGTCCAAGCTACGTTTCCAACCTTGTGTACCAGGTGGGCCTGGGTAGCAGCACTCCTGTGAAGAGATTGTCATGCTACTCCTTGACTCTGGACCCCGGACCCAACTTGGCCCCCCTGGTGACTCCTGGGGCTGGGAGAGTCACCCAGCACCCTTCCTTTGGCCTTTCCCCTCTGTGCCAGCAACCTGAACATTTGGAGGGGCGGGGGTAGTTATAGGAAGGAAAGAAAGGGTGCCCCAAAGAACCAAATGGACTTATTTGGGGATAGAGGGAATGTGAGAGGAGAAGCAGGTGCCACAGGTGGGTAGGGGAAGCACTGAGCCTCTTCAGGGCTGCTCTCCCCCCACAAGCATGAAGTCTGCCCACTCTTATTCAGGAGTTGGAGCTGCTTCCCTTTCCTGGTCTCTGCCTTCCCACCCGTAGCACCCCACCAGGTGGGGCTTGTCCATCTGCCCCTCACCCCCACCAGCTATACAGAAAGTCTAGGGAGAGGGAGGCACTCAGGGAGAATCCTCTACCTTGCATAGGCAGACAATCCCTGCCAGGCAAGCAGGTATCTCCCCAGAATCCCCACCTGCCCACCTGGACTGACGTGGGAGGGGCAGGAGGGTCCAGGCCAGATGTGCAGTTAGTGGGCAGCAGCCTGAGCTCACTGCCAGCTGGGCCAAGACCTCTGGGCGAGCCCCATGCCCTGTCGCTTTTCCCTTCCAGAGGCCCTTCAGCCAAGAAGCGTATCTTGTTAGGAGGTCTGGAGACAGGGTGGAAGAGGTGGCAGAGGACAGCTGACCTCTTTACCCTAGGAAGGCAGGCCTGGGAGCAGCCCAGGACTTCAGGAGGAGGCCAGGGGGCTGGTAGGGGTCAAGGAGTTCCTGGGAAGCCTTGAGATCTGTCCCTGGAAGACCAGGACCATGGCCGCAGAACGATGCCCAGAACAGTCTGCAGCTGGCCGAGGAGTGGGCCACCCCAGAGGCAGAGGCTTTCCTGAGACAGTGCCAGGGATTGACTAGCCTGGAGTCTGGCCAGACGCTGGGTGAAGGGGCTGCTGGGCCACAGAGCAGGCCTTGTCCAGGAAGCTGTGGTTTCTTACTTAGAGAAAAACAATCCAGAGTGAGCATGAGGCCAGGGTCCCCCCACTAGGCCTTGCCTTTGAATGGTGACCCCTTCAGAAGATTACAGCCA